TGCCAGAAAGACAGAGAGAGACAGAGAGACAGAAAGCAAGAAATCGCCCCTCCGGGGAGATGGCCATGCTGCAATCCCTTCTCCATTCTCCTCTTGGGATCCTGGGCACACATGCACATGTGCCCCAGTTTCCTTTGCTTTCTTTTTTTTTTTTTTTGGAGAGATTTTTGCTATAGGATACATGTGCTCACCAAAAAGACAAAAGAGACAGGGAGACAGAAAGTGAGAAGCCACCCCCCAGAGAGGATGGCCACACTGCTATCCCTTCTCTATTCTCCTCTCTGGATCTTGGGCATGTACACACATGCACCTGGCATGAGTTTAAACCACCGGGTCCAGGACTCGCTTGAACCGTGGTCAACTACATACGAGTCCAGTGACATAGCCATTATGCTATCTGCTGGTCCCTATCCAGTCTCTTAATGAAGGGCATTTTTTGCTATTCCACACATCAATGAATATAAGTTTATGATTTCTTCAGAGATCATTTCTCTCCATTGAGTACTTTTGTTTTTATTCCTTTTGTTCCTTATTATTTTAAGCTCTTTTTAAAATATTGATAATTACTATTGGTTATTTGTCTAATTTATTACTCTCATTTTATTTTATATTTTATCTCTTGTTTCTACCACACAAAAAACAACCCAATGAGGTAGGTCTTACTATTAGTATTCCTATTTATAGAAGAGAAAATTCATGTCCTAGACTATACACGCATTTATATGAATGTTTCCCTTTTATCAGTGAATTTCTTTTCTTTCTTTCTTTCTTTTTTTTTTTTGTTTTTTTTTTGTTTTGTTTTTTTGGGGTTTTTTTTGAGAGGCTTTTTGCTATAGAGCATGTGTACTCACAAGAAAGACAGAAAGCCGTAAATTACCCCTCAGGAGGGATGGCCATGCTACAATCCCTTTTCCAGTCTCTTCTCAGGATCTTGGGCATGCACACACATGCCTGGCATGAGTTCTTTTGTTTTGTTTTGTTTTGTTTTGTTTGTTTTTTTGAGAGGTTTTTGCTATAGGGCACATGTGCTCACCAGAAAGAGAGGGATACATAGACAGAAAGCGAGAAATTACTCCCCAGAGGGGATGGCCATGCCACAATCCCTCCTCCTCCATTCTTGTCTCGGGATCTTGAGCACGCACACACACACATACACACACACACACGCATATGCACCCGGCTTGAGTTTAAGCCACTGGGTCCGGGACTCAAACCATGGTCGCCTACATGGGAGTCCAGTGAAATAGTCATTGTGCCAACTGCTGATCCCAGTGAATTTCATTTTCTTTCTACAGCAATATAAAGTTCCATTTTCATTTAAATTAAATATAAATCGATTTGAAGCAAAATATTAAGTATATTATGAAGATACTATACAAATGATTGAAATTTGAGAAACATCAGAAAATGTACAGAAGTCTATTAATGATTGACACTATATAGCCTTGTTTTGGAGTGCAATCTTTTGTCTATGTAAAAATAATGTTTTTACCTCACTTAGAGTTTTCCTTAACATTTGACTTGTCTGATAATAATATTGACCTGCTTTCTTCTTGCTGATACTTGCCTATTTGTGTTGCCATTTTCAGTTATGGAACATGGTCAACGTCCTGCCTTGATGGAAAAGTGAACAATGCCATGGTCTTCTCTTTCTTCTCATCTCAATCTCAACACCTGGTTGGCAAAGTAGAGAGCAGCGTTTAAATCTTATCACTCAAAATGTTCTTATCATTTCAACTAAAGACTTAATGATTTTAATTTAGGATACTTTCCAGCCTGGGAGTTCATGAGGGGTTTTCTTAGAGGAAGCTTTGTAATAGAAAGTTTGGAAGAGAAAATGGCGAAAGTCTCCCAAAAAGCAGAGCTTGAAAAACATACCAAGTGTGTGTGCATGTGTGCCCCAAATCCTGAGAGGAAAAATGGAGGAGAAAGAATTGCAGCCTGGCTCCCTTGTGTGGGGGGGAATGCTTTCTCACTTTCTCTCTCTCTTTCTCTTCGTCTTTCTCCAGCAAGTGCACATGGCCTAGAGCATTTTTTTTTTTTAATTGCGTAAATGGTATGGAATTTCTTAGCTGTTCTCTTAGCTATCTTCTCAGTCTTCTCTCTCTAGGTGAGTTACCAATTCCTAGGCTTTTCAAAACCATCTTTATGTTGATATAACAATGACACCAAACATGCATATCCAGGCCAGACTCATCCTGGTCTCTGTACTCACAGATCCAACTTTGTACTTAATATTTCCACTTGCTAATCTAATTCAATACTCACATTTCAAACTTTATATACCCTAAATATAAGCCTTAGTGAGCACTTCCACGCCATCGTTCATACTCAGTGAATGCTACTTCCAACTATTCCAGCTCAAAACCTATAAATCTTCCTTGATATCTGAGTTCTGTTCCTGCCCCCCAAATCCATGATACACCATGACCAATTTACTAACAAATCCTGGCCATTCTACCTCAAAATTACAGCCAAGTACCACATAGCAATGTTTCTCCCAAGAACAGACCTATGTACACTGGTGATTCCATAAGATTATACCAGGTCTACAGTAGGCTATACCTTCTGGGTCTGTGTATGGACACCCTGTGATGTCTGTACAACAAAATCTCATGAAGCATTTCTCATAAAATATCTATGTCATTAAGAAATGCATGGCGGGCCAGCAGGTGGCCTAGTGGTTAAGATGCTGGAATTCCCACATGGCCGACCATGGTTCAAGTCCCGGACGGGGTGGCTTGCTTTCTCACTTTCCCTCTCTCTCTTTCTCTG